CTACAGAGCACGTATCTGAATGCGAAGACATAAACCCGTGGGTAGATGGGAGAGGGAAACGCCATGAAAGGATTCTGAAGTCACATCCAGCCCTGATGGGTTGCTCGGGACAGTCGGTAGACAGTAAAAGTGTGCGTCCAAGTGATGACTCCGTAAATCGTCCTCGCCCACATGCAGCGCATTCACCGGAAAGACAGAGTAAGGAGGACCATGCTCGCCAGCAGTGTCTGGTTATTCAGGGTTTGTCAGAATCGAATGCAGTCAGACCTAAAGACCGTGTCACAGAGGACCTTGCTTCTTTTCATGGTCTGCTAAATCATTTACTGCCGGCAGACATGGAAATAAAGGTTCTGAAAGCATTTCGGATAGGAAAAGGGAGTGAAGACAGGACAGTAGCACAAACACCTCGCCCTCTCAAAATTATGCTGGAGAACAAAGAGCAAATCAAGTTTATCCTCTCTTAAAAAACCGATCTCAGAAACACACAAACAGGTTTTTTTCAACCGGACTATTCACCAGCGGAACGGTTGAAACACCGGGAACTTGTCTTGTAGTTAAAATCAAGACTGAAGGATGGCGAACACAATCTGGCAATCTTCAAGGGGAAGGTAGTTCGGAAATATATGCCGTTTCAGTGGAACCAGCCTGTGATACTACGAATGACGACAGCTACTCAGCTAAAACAGCCACCTTCATTGAACCACCTGATCTAGGCGCCAACACAAGTGAGCCCGTAGCGTCCAGTGATCTGACTGAAACAAGACATGCAAATGGAACCAATCAGGTTACGGAAGAGCTTAGAGAACACGACGTCCGCGATAACGGAGTAATGCTCACAGCAGTAACAAATGCAACGGGAAATTCTGCTGGTGCTAAACTGAGGTGCTTGTACACGAATGCCCAAAGCCTCATATCGAAACTAGACGAACTAAAACTTTGCCTTGTTGAGCTGTCCCCAGATGTTTTAGCAGTAACTGAGACCTGACTGTCCGGGAATATCAGCGATAACGAAGTAGCCTGGCCTGGATACCAAATTTATCGGAGGGATAGGGAACATCGTCAGGGAGGTGGTATCGTTGTGTATGTGAATGACGGTCTGGCAGTGTCGGATAACACCACCAAGTTTGCGTGCAGTACGGAAGCTATCTGGTTGACCATCAAGGCTACCGGTTCCCCGTGTCTCGATGTCCTCACTGTCTACCGACCACCTAGGACAGACCGAATCGCCGACACTCAACTATTGGAGCAGTTGGAGAAATTTTCCAGTCGACCTAACATCATGATCATGGGCGACTTCAACGCACCAGGAACAAACTGGAATACCCTCCAAGCGTCAGGTCCAAAATCGGCATTCGATTACCGCCTGTTGAGCAAGACATTAAATGCGTGCCTCACACAACATGTAATGTTCCCAACGAGAACACGTGAAGGACAAAGGGCAAACTGCCTGGATCTGGTCTTTACGAAAACATCAGACAGCATAGACGAGATCGCCTCCATGCCGCCCCTTGGCCGAAGTGACCACGTAGTGCTTATGTGGGATTATTCGTTATTCTCCATTTCACATACTCCAGACCACAAAAGGCGTATGTTTGGCGGGGCAACTTCAATCAGATGAGGGCAGACTTATCCGGTCTCGACTGGGGCTCTTTGTTTACGGGAAGTGCCAACGATGACTGGGAGCTGTTCAAGAATGTCCTTCTGCAGCTCATCAACAACCACTGCCCACTGACTAGTGTAAGACTGAACAAACGCCCTGGGTGGCTAAATAGCAACCTTAAGAAAGAAATCAACAGGAAGCACAAATTGTGGAGAAAATACTGCGTCACTAGACCAGCTGAATGCTTCAACACCTACAAGACACCGAGGAACAAACTGAGGAACCTGATCATAAAGACGCGGCGGGAATTCGAGAAGAACTTGCTACAAAACGCAACGCAGAACCCAAAATTGCTCTACAGCTACCTCCGACGAACTACAAGGAACAGGCATCAAATCCCCTAGATAAAGACTACTGATGGCGTTGAGATCGCTGATAGTAGGGATAAAGCTGCGTATTTTTCACGGTTTTTCCAATCAGTCTACACAAACGAGGCAAGGTTCCTTCCTCCCTCAACAGAAGAACTGCCGTCTCCAAGCGTCAGTGATATACTCTTCTCAGAAGGCATTGTCCGAAGAGAATTAGAGGCATTGAACGTATCGAAGTCGCCAGGACCAGAGGAGATTCCACCCAAGCTTCTGAAGGAACTTGCAGTGAGCTCTCTGTGCCTTTGTCGATGCTCTTTCAAACGTCATTTGACACTGGAACACTTCCTGTCGATTGGAAACTGGCGCATATTACTCCGCTACACAAAGGAGGTAATAGGGCAGCGACGACAAATTACCGGCCCATAAGCTTGACATGCATTCTCTGCAAAGTGATGGAAAGGATCATAAAGTGTGAACTGATGCAATTCCTGGAAGTTCACGGCCTGCTATCGAACTGCCAACATGGGTTCCGGAAAGGAAGATCCTGCACGACAAACCTGCTGCAATCTCTCCAGAGCTGGACCCGAGCTCTCGACGACAGGCACGCGGTCCACATAGCCTTCATCGACTTCCAGAAGGCTGTCGACACTATGCCACACCAAAGGCTCTTACATAAGCTGAAAAAATAGGGATCGGTGGCAACTTCCTTAAATGGATCGAAAACTTCCTTGTGGGTCGACACCAGGCTGTGTGCGTCGGTCGGGGAAAATCAGATCCGGCTATGGTCGATAGTGTTGTCCCCCAGGGTTCAGTTCTAGGACCCATTTTGTTCCTTATCTACGTGGACGATGCCGCAAGAGATTTAGACTGTGAAGTAGCAATGTTTGCGGATGACATGAAGATATGGAGTGTAATTGGGGTTCCTGCCGATGAAGACAGACTGCAGATGAACCTGAATCGGTTGGAGGAGTGGTCAAACCTTTGGTTCCTGCGGTTCAACGTTTCCATATATAGCATACTTCGCCTAGGCAACACAGCCAGATCCGCCAGCACAAGAGGCTACTTTCTGGGCGGTGCAGCCCTACAAGAGGTCGAAGCCCAAAGGGACCTCGGTGTGCTTACGACGAGTTCCCTAAAACCATCCGCCCACTGTTCGAGGGTGGCAAAAACCGCAATGTCCGTACTGTACGCCATCAAGCGTGCGTTTATGGACTTTGACGAAGAAGCTTTCTCTAAGACATTCGGAACATTCGTCCGGCCGCATTTAGAGTACGGCATACAAGCTTGGAGGTCGTGGGCTGTTGTGGATCAAAACTGCCTCGAAAAAGTCCAGAGGAGAGCCAGGAAGATGGTTAGGGGTCAAAGCTCCTTTCCTTATGCAACCGGCCTAGTATATCTGAACCTATTTCCTTTTGAGTTACAGACAACTTCGCGGAGATCTCTTGCAAGCCTTCCGCATTGTAAAGGGGTTGGATTGCAGTCTGGCCTTCGAGGACTTTTTTGAATTTGCTACCACGACCAACCTCCGAGGTCACCCGTTAAAACTGCGCACTCAGCAGACACGGCTGGATGTGCGGAAGTTCTCCTTCTCGGTTCGGGTGGTCAAACCATGGAACGAGCTTCCCGCAGATGTTGTGATGTCACCATCTATACAAAGTTTTAAGAAGAATCTGGACATATTTATGTTCCGAAATGACCAAGAGCGATGAGAAGTCGAGCTCACCCCCTGTAACTGCTTCTCATTTTGTCTCACCATTATGGGCGTGTTTGAACTATTTCAGCCCAGAACATTTATCTGTATACCACACATTTTTACGTTGCAAATAGGGTACTCAAAGGCTTACGCCTATTTCCCTCAATAAACTGAACTGACCTGAAGGATACCTCATAAAGTGCGCACCATCTTATTCAGAATTGTATTTGTATTAAAACGCGCTATGAATTTCTTGGATATCATTTTAAATCCAACCAGATTGCTACTTTCTCGAATACAACTCTGCGCATTGGCTTATCTTATGGGATAGGGGTTTGGTCATTGGGAATTATTGAATTTAGGAATTCTCGTTGTCAAGTTTTTCGACGAATGTTGTGGTTTGTTTTGTGATACGGCAGGAGTGAACTGACCGTTTTTCTTTTTGTTTTATTAAAGTGGCCTGTTACCGAAAGGGAGTAGTGTGTGTTTTTTGTGCCTGCAGGATCTACTGAAGGAGCCCGCACCCCAACCCCTGTAGCAGCCTCCAGCTCTACACTCCCCGTGCTTCAACCAGCCAGCGACCGTGATTATATTGTTAGAGAACCTTCCTTGGACCAGCATTAATCTGCGAATGTTCTTCCCCTCCTGTTTTCCGACTCGTATGCGCTCACTGACGCTCT